AGATCGATACTGAAACAAAAAAAGAATCATCTATAAATTTTAATTAGTTAATTGTTTTAAATAGTATTTTTTGGATTCTTGTGGATGTGTCGCCATTAAAAAAAAGTATGAGAAATAAATTAGTATTATTTTTTTAGAGGGAGTCAATGGAATATAACTGGGAGAAGAAACCGGAATTAGGTTTAACCACATGTTTACACCATAAAATATTTTGCATGTAAACCCAAAATTTTTCCATACTTTTTAACTACATATTCTCCAAAAAATTACAATTTAAAATAGTGTTTTTTTTTTTTTTAAATGACCACCAAACAGAGGCTAAGAAAAAAATTTGAATCTACGTAAACAATGTTTTATTGTGAGGATATGTAGTTGAAAATGAGTATGAGAAAAGTTTTTAAATAATGGTTACTAAATAGCGGCTCATTTTCAATCATATATTCTCCTATAAAATAACCTTACATATAAATCCAGAATTTTTAATTATTTTTTAACTACACATTTAAAAAAAAAATCACTATTTCAAAACCTATTTATTCCCAAAATTGAACGGAATGGTGCCAACTTGAGATGTTGATTTCAATGTCGAAAATTTGATAATACAAAATCAAGTACCATAAAATTGGCATCTTTTATATGAATTTATTTAGGGTTTTCAGATTAAAATAGAGAAAATGAGGTAACACGAAGACTTAACCACCAATATTTATTACTAAGAAATCTATTAAATTCATACTCTTATAAGCCTTAAATTCTCATTTTCAAGAAAAAGGCTAGGGAACAAAGGCATGCTTTCGTAAACTAACCATTATATACGTCAGTCGTCTCATTTGTTTCGATCAAGATACTCTAATCCATTAATAAAATTAATGTCGGTAATATTCATAATGGACATTGAATTATCGGTGCCAACTTGAGATATTGATTTCAATGTCGAAAATTTGATAATGTGAAATCAAGTACCATAAAAATTGGCATCTTTTATATGAATTGATTTAGGGTTTTCAAATTAAAATAGAGAAAATGAGGTAATACGAAGTCTTAACCACCAATATTTATCACTAAGAAATCTATTAATTAAATTCATACTCTAAGCCTAAAATTCTCATTTTCAAGAAAAGGGTTAGCGAACAATGGCATGCTTTCGTAAAATAATCATTATATATGTCAATCATCTCATTTGTTTCGCTCAAGATACTCTAATCCATTAATAAAATTAATGTGAGAATATTCATAATGGACATTAAAGCAAAACCATTGCCAATGTTTTTTAAATAATCAAGTATAAATGTTACGTCCATAAAATGTTAAAAAAAAAAATTCGAAATCTCCGTCAACTCTTGTGTCGCTTTGAGTAGACTTATGTGTCATTGGTGAGAACTCTATACATCACTTGGGTGACATGTTGAATGATGGGCTCATATGCAAATTTAAAATGTTCTTTTGAAATAANTCAACTCTTGTGTCGCTTTGAGTAGTCTTATGTGTCCTTGGTGAGGACTCTATACATCACTTGGGTGACATGTTGAATGATGGGCTCATATGCAAATTTAAATTGTTCTTTTGAAATAATTGTGTTTACAGATACTGTGAAAGGGTATGTCCTAGCTACAAAACCCCAAGCTCCTCTTGCTCTATGCTGTAATAATGCACTTCAACGTCCTTAACGCGGTTTGATTAAAAAAAAAAATCATCCAATTAACAAAAACATCTATGTTATAGCATATGAATAAACCACGATTTTCACATGTCCATAAAGTCAAGGTTATACAAAAAGTAATAATAATTTCATTCTAATCCAAATCTTCTAAAAACATTGGATCTTCAATGACATGTAGACGCTTTATTCTTTTCAGGTTGAATGATTCTATGTCTAGCACGATTGTCCTTTCATCACTTTTCAATTCCACCTGCTCATTATAGATTCTATGAAGGATTTGTGGGTGACAATGTATTGGCTACTTCTCTTCACTAATAAATAATTTTTGAAGTAATGAAAAGTAAAATAATCAACATAAACTTTAATTTCTACCTTTTATCTGGTTTTCTTCAATTTTATCGGAATAATGATAAAACATTATTGCTTTAATTTATTTCCATAAATAAATTTAGGATCTGCGATGGTGGAATATTAGTTCAAAGTCAATAAATCATTTTCTATGAATCTCAAGAACGGATAAACAATTTTTATTGAACAGTTTAAAATACATTTAATTTTTCTATCTAATCATCTACTGTCACATACATATCTGTCTACGTACAATTATAACATTTTCCTTCACAAAGTAGATTAATCCTTATTCAGCACTATTCCAAAAGGTCATTATTTTTCCTTCATCCATTTCTCCACACTTTTCCACTTTATATTGTCCAGAACTCGTACTAAAATTCAGCATGGGAAAAGCATACGCTTTAATGAAAGCACGTCTCTCTTTTTCGTTCAACTATCTCTGCCTTTATTGCTTGCTATTGGTGGTGCCTTCTGCAACCTGCCCACTTTTAAGTGGATTCTCTAAATTATATCTCTGAATTTGTATGAAATTATTATTTGTGTTTGACAACTTGAATATTTCAATTTGAGTTCAAATTGAATTTTCAAATTAACTTCACAAAGATTGAATTAGATAACATGAAACGTCATTGAATAAACTGACATAAACTATGAATATAGTTGAGAAAGTGCAAATAGAATTCCACTCTGGCTCGACGTTGGTAAAATAAAAGATTTATAAAGAAATTGGGTTACTCTGTCTAATTTTTTAATTCTCAACAAGTGGTTCAGCAACAAATCCCTAAACTTAGACATCAGAGGGTCGAACGAAGATGGGAATCTTAGTTAATTGCCATGGCTAGAAAAATTTGTGGCTACTAGTGAGTTGTGATTACATAAGGCGGTGGCTTTGATACA